AGAGCGGTGAGCGCTGTTTGCATCCATCAGCATGAATCACATGATGCTTCAGGATTCTGTCTGCCCCTACACATAATAGGTACAGATGGATGCCATAACTAACTAATTTGTGTTAAAAGGACGCTACAGTGAAAATTTTGGTTACGCTGTGCAGTTACGTCGAGGCTGCCACAGTCTTTCGCCCGCTTATTTAGCAATCGCGTTAACAGTGATGTCATTTTACTGTTAGTTTCCTGGATGAGTCTAAAGTCTGTTTTAGGTGTGTTTTTCCCTCAAACTACCTACTTGGTGCTCTTCAAACAACTAACCTGTACGCTTTGATTGTTTTTGTTTTATTTTGTTTTCTCCAGTACGATGAAGCTGATCATCCTCAGTGAGTACGACCAGGCAAGCGAGTGGGCTGCAAAGTACATTAGAAACAAGATTTTACTGTTCAAACCTGGCCCGGACAGATATTTCACCCTGGGTCTCCCGACAGGTAAGTAGGAGCAGGTAATCCAAGTACACCTCTTTACTAGATATACTGTATAGTAGTATCTAACAGTATTATAATATTTCGCGTCTACATCTGCTGATTCAGCGTCACTAGCGGAAAGTTGTATGTTGGAGTTTGTCTTTCTTCCCCATTTAGACCAGGAGTTTAAAACAGCAGCATATTTTGCATGTAAACTATAAATAACATGTACAGCTATCACAGCAATTAATAGAGTAAATATATATATATATACAATACTGAAGACTAATTGTATAAAGCTTTCCAAAAGGGAAAGGTGTAACTGGACCCACTATGACACAGAACATAAGAAGAGTAGTATAGTACTTTAGTGTCCACTATAACTTTCATATCTGTCCTTGCAACTCTAAGCTTTTTTTTGCTTGCTCACTTCAGGAAGTACACCTTTGGGTTGTTACAAGAAGCTGATCGAATACCACAAGAATGGACAAATCTCATTCCAGTATGTTAAGACTTTTAACATGGATGAATATGTAGGTAAGTCCTGACCATTCTGTCTCCCTACTTAAAATGGTTGGTTACACATTGAGGAATTCTTGATGGATGCGGCCTTGTACAAAAAAACTGTTTTGTATAGGACTTCCCAGAGATCACCCTGAGAGCTACCACTCCTTCATGTGGAATAATTTCTTCAAGCACATAGACATAAAAGCAGAGAATACCCACATCCTTGATGGCAACGCCGCAGACCTGCAAGCAGAGTGTGACGCTTTTGAGAAAAAGATAACAGAAGCCGGGGGAATTGAGCTGTTTGTCGGAGGTGAGGAGTTCACATTGTTGATAATAAATGTACTGACAATACATTAAAGATTGATAATCATTGCTAATGCTGCAGTAAAAGTGAACTAGTCTTACACTCCTGTGTCAGGCATTGGACCGGATGGCCACATTGCCTTTAATGAGCCTGGTTCAAGCTTGGTTTCTAGGACCAGGGTGAAGACCCTGGCAAAGGACACTATCATGGCTAACGCCCGATTTTTTAATGGAGATCTCTCAAAGGTGCCCACTATGGCCTTGACTGTGGGGGTGGGCACTGTCATGGACGCAAGAGAGGTGAGGAACCTACATCAACAATGTGTCCTGGTTTTCGTGTTTTGCTTTTGTTACTTTATTTCTTTGCAAAATATCAAAAATATACTTTATGTTTGGAATGGTCATTTTCTGTCAGAACTTTGCTTTGAGTTGCACAACAGTGCAGTATCACAGGTCACATTTTCTTCTCAGGTCATGATTCTCATCACTGGAGCACACAAGGCATTTGCTTTATATAAAGCTATAGAAGACGGCGTGAATCACATGTGGACAGTGTCTGCGTTCCAGCAGCACCCACAGGCTGTTTTTGTATGTGATGAAGATGCTACCCTGGAACTGCGGGTCAAAACTGTAAAGTACTTCAAAGGTGAGACTAAATACCAAAGCCTCCATGAATCAAGTTATTATTCCTACTTCTGCTTATTATAACATTTCAGCTGCAATAAAATACAATCCTGATTGCGTTAACTTAAAACATGCTGATTCTTGGTTTTTGTTTAGGGATGATGCATGTGCACAACAAGCTGGTGGAGACACTTCCCTCAGAGCTGAAGAAGAACTGATCTTAAGAGATTTCTTCCAGGTGTTTTCGAGGCATTTTTCAAAAATTAACATTCCAGTGATTCCTTTATGTTCTCTTGGAGATGCATTCATGGATGTCAAGCAGCGCTTGAAATTAACATCAATTAATCTCCATAAAAATAATCAGGTGCTGTTATAAAGTGCAGGTTTTTACATCTTCAGGTGACTGTTCATATAGCTGTTCTATCCATTTGTTCTTTGTAATAAAGTCTTAAATTGTTATAACTTGAGTGTGTTTTGTGATAGTGCTGACGTTGGCAAGTTTTTTGTTCCTCTCACATGACAGCACAGAAACAACTGAGGTTGCCTTTAAGTGCTCCTTGTAAATCCGTTTTTCCATACTTATGGCGAAATGGCTTTTTCAACAGCTTATGTTTAAGAGAAACAGTCCTTATTGCCAGAATGGAATAACTATCTACATTTACTAAAGTATCACACTGAAGTGTAATTTTGAGGTACTTATACTCAGTTATATAATTATTTTTTGCTACTTTGTAGGTCATCAAGTACATATCTACTCTGCTACTCGCTACTCCGCTACTCAAAGGCAAATAAACTTACATGTGCAGTTGATATATGCAATTAACTGTGCCTGAATCTTATTCTCACTCAAGCAAAGAGCAGATATTGGGCTTGACACCGTAACTGCATTTAACAGTAACTGTATTTACTCGAGTTTTAAGCAGCAGCTGGCCCATCTGGCTTGGTAGGCAATCACATCTTTGAGCCAGGCCAGCTCAATAGTCCAACCACTGACACTGTTCTACCAAGACTGTCAGTCAGAAGAAAAATAAATCAGTAACAACCCCACTGAGGTAATAACTATTATCAGCAATACCAGTACAAATTCTAAGAGTGAAAGCAAGTCTATGGGGTCATCAGGTGGGCACCCTCTCTTTAACTGGTGTTTCTTTGAGTTGGGCCCACGACACCAAGAAGGCTCAACAGTGTGTTCCAGTGTCCCAGAATTAGCCCCCTTTTGCCTGCACCCACACACCCAACACAGTCAACCAGTATCTGCATGATACTCTGTCAAACCCATTGATCAGGGCTACTGCTAGTAAACAACAATCAATAGCTTACAGCTAACTGATAACTGGCAGAAAAAGATTTTACACACAAACCCAATGATCAGCTTAAAAAATATGTTTGCTTTTGAATAAATGACCTAATGTTATATCGCCAGTTTGATGAACTACACGATTAAAATGTTGCCCATTACTAATATGTACAGCAACATAATAGTGAAAGGGGGCATCTATTTGGGTACTTTCACAATTTTATATAGTTTATTTTTCTAATAATATGTTTAAATGTTACATTTTGAGTATACGGGCTAGTATACTGCGGTACTTTTAAGTAACTCTTTCATGTGCCTTTAGTTATTGGCACATGAAATGTTCTATAGAGTTTCCGACAGCATGTGAAGGCATCATCACCCTCAGTTACAGTGAGTCAGTCGGGAGAAGGTAGGAGATGGCCGACTAGGAAGAACCCTTACCTTTGCAATTTCGTCGGCAAGATCCTTTTACATAACACATCTTCACAGGTGAAGTGGGAAGAGGACGTTTTAAATATTTCGTTCCTCTTCCACAATGGCCGAACAAAACAGCAACGTGAGATATCAAGAGGTAAGTTACGCTAGTTAACAGTTTGCTAGCACGCTAAAATGTAGCTAACAGTTGGTTAGCTGTTAGCCAGTAAGCTAACCCTGGTCAACATGAGCGTGTCACTGAGGAGAAACAACGAGCTCAACCGACATTTGTTTACGGCTGGGCCTGAGTTTTCGATATATATCTTAAGCCTTTATCAAATGAGATTTCTCACACTGAAGTAAAGTATTTGATATGTGATCATAAATTCTTCACATATGAGTTGAAACCTGTGCGACCCATTTTCATTTAGTAGCTAACATTAAGTTTATACCTGATGGTCCTTGATCAGTGACTACTCAACCCTGTCAGCAGCTGCTACTCACATTGAGCAGGAGGGTGCAGCCTGCTCCTTCACCGACATAAATTAATATCCAGGATGCAGGATGCTATGTAGTTTTAGTGATGTATGAGAGGCTACTGTGTTATCAATGCTTGGACCAGTGTAACCGATCTGTCCTACACTGAAAAGGAATGGTTGTAGACATGTCTGAATGGACACCTGTTGCACAGCATATTACACAAATGTGACATCACTGCTACTGGTTAGAATTGTACATTTTGACAAGTTATCACACTTGAATGATTTTCCATCCAGTCTATACAGAACCTCACCAGATTGGTTGTGGGGTGTGCAAGAGGTAGTTGAATAAGATATTCTTGTAATGTCATATTGCAATGCCCATATATGGTCAACTGGAAATGAAAATGAAAGTGTTTCCTAGTTAAACAACAGAGGAGCTTGTATGATTTTGGCAAAATAGGATGTCTAAAATGTCTGACAAATCAAGGAACGCCTTCACATGCTAACACTAATAGTCCTGCCCAGTGACTTAAAGCATTGTCTGTAGTGGCACAGTCAACCAGAAATCTTACAGGGATAGCTACCACACTTAAGAAATATTGGCTTATAAATGTTGTCATATTGTGCAACTCTGAAGATTATTGTAATTGATGCCACAGTGTTGTTTTCTTTGTGAAATTCCATCTACATAACTTTAATCCTGTCATAGCCAATAAATTGATTTTTGTAAAAAATGTAGTTTAAGTTGACTCAGGTTGCGTTGTCATGTATTAACATTCCTTCAGCTGGTTAATGAGGAGGAGCCAGCCCAACTGTCCCAGGAGGGTCCAGCCCAGGATGCACCTCCACCCTACAGCAGCATTGCTGCAGCTAATGCAGGTTGGGAAGCTTCACAACTGTTACCTACAGTTAGACAACTCTGAATCATTGGTGGAAGAAATATTCAGGTCCTGCAATGAGAAAAAAATCAGTGCCATTTAATAATGATTCTCTAGTAAAAATGAAAGCCGTAATAATATAGAAATATTTGCAGTAAAATGTAGCTAAGAGGCAAAAGTATAATTTGTTTCCAGTGTCTCTGAAAGAGTGATGGTCACAACTGTGGTTTCATTTGACCAGGAGAAAGTAATGTCCTTCCCATATATGATCATAGATTTAAACTGTGTGGACTGGTCTTGTAAGCATATACTGCTGGTCAAATAAAACACCTAAGATCATCCTAAAACAATGTAAAAAGTATAAAATGTCTTCTGAAGTCCCATTATAGAAAAACTGAAAAGTATGAATAACTCATAACTGTGCTAATGGTATATGAGTAAATGTATATGTACAGTCTTATGCAAAAGTTTAGGCACCCCTTGATAAATAACAGATTTTGGTGATTTTTTATTTGAACAGATGTTAACACAGTTTCTCTTGGAAATGGAAAAAATGCACAATATTTTCTGCAAACAGTGATGCATAGTTACTTCTTATGCCATAAATTGAACAAAAATAAAAAATAAAAACATTATTATGGCATGGTGCAAAAGTTTGGGCACCCTAAGAGTTCCAGAGTCTCAAAGTCTCTCACAAGGTTTCAGACCTTAATCAGCTCATTAGATCTGATGCACAGCAACAATGTTTTCAGTGGAATGACACAAAAGTCAAATCTGATATATTCCACACTGAACTCCAAATATGGACTGGACAGAATTACTGACACCTTTTCAGAATCATCAGAAATAGTTGTATTTTAAGCATGTGATGCTCCTTTAATTTGTAAAGAAACTCACCTGTAGCAATTAACGGGCACTGGCAATATATAAATCATACTGGCAACCAGTTAAAATGGGGACAAATTGACTCAACCTTTGTGTTGTGTGAACCACACTGAGCATAGGGAAAAGAAAGAAGAGCAAAGAATTGTCTGAGGAACCACATTAGCGGAAAAGCATGGCCAATCTCAAGGCTACAAGTCCATCTCCAGAGATCTGGCTGTTCCTGTGTCAACTGTGTGCAACATTGTCAAGCCCATGAAGCTGTAGCTAATCTCCCTGGACGTGGACGAAAGAGCAAAATAGATGAGAGTTTGCAATGAAGGATTGTTCCAGTGGTGGATAGAACCTTGATCAATGTCCAAGCAAATTCAAGCTGACCTGCAGGCACAGGGTGCAACAGTATCAGCTCACACTATCTGTCATCATCTGAATGACAAGGGACACTATGGTAGGAGACCCAGGGGACCCCACTGCTGACACAGTAACATAGAAAAACCAGATTGGAGTTTGCCAAAACTTAGCAGAGGAAGCCACAGTCCTTCTGGGAGAATGTCCTGTGGACAGATGAGACTAAAATACAGCTTTTTGGTCAAGAACATCATTCTGCTGTTTTCAGAAAACAAAATGAGGCTTTCAAAGAAAAGAACACAGCCCCTATAGTCAAACACAGTGGAGGTTCACTGAGGTTTTGGGGTTGCTTTGCTGCTTCAGGCACTGGATGTCTTGACTGTGTGTATGGCATTGTGAAATCTGAAGGCTACCAGTGAATTCTGGGGCTCAGTGTCAGAAAGCTGGGCCTCCGTCAGAGGTCATGGGTCCTACAGCAGGACAATGACCCAAAGCAGACTTCACAAAGCAACAGAAATGGTTTCAGATGATGTGCAAAGAGTTCTGAAGTGGCCAGCAGTGAGTCCAGATCTAAATCCCACAGAGCACCTGTGGATCCCAAAATACAGCTGGGAGAAGGGACCCTTCAAATCTGAGAGACCTGGAGCAGTTTGTGAAAGATGAGTGGTCCTAAATTCCAGTAGAGATGTGTAAGAAACACAGTGATGGTAACAGGAAGTGACTGATTATATTACAATATTCTTGGCCATGAGTGTACACGCTAGTCGGGCATCTGGGCTGGCCCAGATATATTCCAGGTGTTTGTATGTCGGACCTCTGCTCTGATTTGACCAAGTGTTAGCCTTAGCATGAATGTTGTAGAGGGAAATTTTATTTAAAGCCTTGTAGAAATGTCTGCCATTTCTAATCTCACCTCTTAAGAGGGCAAAGGTCAGCATGCTACATAAGTGGGTGCAGCCTTGAGCTCTTTCTGGGTGAGACCATTGATCTGGCTTATTGCTGTTTGTGTTTGAGCAACACAAAGAAGGATTCTGGGTGGCTGCCAAATGAGCCAGATAAAGATCTTGGCTTGTGTGGGACAGAACATAAACAGCAATGGTATGTTAGACTGCTACTGTCTTTCTTCCTGATGTAACTCATCCCTCCCTGGTTTGCTGCTGCTCTCACTTTTGAAGGAAGTGAAAGTGGGTTTTTGTCTGTCAGCAGTCAAACCTGAACGACAGCTGCTGATCAGTTAATTAGATAACTTTTGGTTTTGCTGATACCATTGAACTAAATATCTGAGTCCCCACTATAACTGTAAAACTCATTGACCTATCCAGTTATAGGTCATAACCTAGACACCTGCTAATGTATTTTAAATGAATCCATTACAAATGAAAAATAGCACACTTAGAGATGGTCTCTAAATTCTGTTGAGAAAGGTTGATTAATTAGTTTTAATTGCATACAGTTAACAAAGTGAAGCAATTTTACAAATGCAGAACTAGATTCATCATCGTCTTTGCTGTAGGTTTCAAGTCCAAAAAGTAACTTTTGCTTTCATATTAGCCCAGCCTGTATGAAAAATCAATATTGGAGTCTGCAAAGGATTTTGCTGAGGAGTTTATTATTAAAATATTCAGAGACAGGTCGTTTTGAGATGTGCGCTCTGTTGTTAGGTTTAATAGACATTTGCTACCTCCACAGCTTTCTTTGACTATAAGGAAGATGGAAGATATCCCAACCCTCCGTCGTACAATGTTGCCACCACTCTGCCCTCCTATGATGAAGCTGAAAGAAGCAAAGCAGAGGCTGCCATCCCTCTGGTCGCTGGAAGAATCACGGTACCTGTGGCATTCAAATTCAATTCAGACTTTGTTTAGAAATCTTCCTGATTATAAAGTTTCTCATCATGCCTTGATATATCAACAAAAACAATCCATTTTGTGATCAACACATTTGTTGCCGCTGATGTAGGAGGACGACTTTGTGGCCAGAGATGATTTTGAAGATGCTGACCAGCTGCGAATAGGAAACGACGGCATCTTCATGCTGACTTTCTTCAGTAAGGACACGTTTCGGGTTTCAGCTTTGAACAGTCAAACTTTTTTGGCATCTAGAAAAACTAACACCGGGTTTTTATAAAGATAAATTGAATATCAAATATGCAGAGTACATTGTTTGTGCCATGCTGTAACTTCATAAATACTGTCTGGTCTGGCTTTATAATTTCAGGAAATATGTTTTCAGGTGTACTAGGCAGCACCTCTGCAGCTGTTTTGTAGTGCACGTTCAGTAGGCTGATAGGTCTGCTGTCTTATCAGCGATGGTTTTAAAATGCTATATGTGTTCATGATCTAGGCCAGTTTTATATTATTTTACCACGTGATGTTCTTTTCATTAATTCTTGGCTTTCTGTCACCAGTGGCATTCCTCTTCAACTGGATTGGCTTCTTCTTGTCATTCTGTCTGACCACATCAGCCGCCGGTCGATACGGCGCCATCTCTGGCTTTGGCCTGTCCCTCATCAAATGGGTTCTGATTGTCAGGGTAAGGGTTTTTTACCGAATCTGTACCACAACCACTCCGACTACTGAACAGGGCCCATATTCACAAAGCATCTTAGAATTCTCTCAGAGAGCTCCTATCTTAGCCTAAAAAGTCCTACCTGGGAGTCTATGGTGCTTGTTCGTTTTATATTGAAAAAGAGAAGACTAATAAGAGGATATATATTTCTCAATGTGAAATTTATTATGCATTAACGTATCAAAATTAGCATGTGCACATGCATCTCCACTGTTTAGGATAAAACAGGAAAGACTGTCCTCAACTTGTTGGTATACAATATTTGTATGAAAAGGTGCTACTATCTAATTGGTCCAAAACTGTTGGGGAGAAGCTGTGGTTTAGACTTAACTCTCCCGTCATTGGACCATTCTGGTCCGATCTCGTCACTGGCGCGACCTTGTCCTGAAACAGACACTTTGCACAGCCCACAACGCTTCTTAGTATCTTATCAAACCTCAACTCCCCTGGCTTCAAGGAGCAGAGGGAATAATGGGCTCTTTTAGGAAAAGGCAACAAATCTAATGAAAACCTGTGGGATGATTAGTCCTTGGAAAACCACTCAGTGCACCAGACCTATGCTGTTGCATTAGTGTTTCAGTAACTCACACAGCAAATATTTGACCAGTGGTTAAGTGAACACAGTGATATTCATAACTATATAAGCATATCTGTGACATATAAGTATGTAAACTTATGTTATAAAATAAAACCATTCTTAAGTGCATAAAATAAAAATCACCCTAACAAGTCCTAGACTAAAAGTGATTTAAGAAACTTCTCAGAGCAACTCTGAGCAAGGAAAGTACAAAAACTTTTATCTTAGTGAGGAGGTGTGGTTGACCCCGTTGCTCGGGGTGATGCAGCAAATCAGGGACTGTGATTGGTTGATAAAGAATCTGTCACGGTCTTTACAAAAATGCTGTCTTTGTGAAAAGAGAATATATGATAATATGATGGACAGTGAAATCTTAATGTTTGTATATAAAAATATATATCATGAATACAGGCTAATTTATACAAAGTTTTTGTTATAGGGTAAAAAATTTA